GGGGGGGGGGCTTTCTGCAAGTTTTTTTTTTTTTTTTTTTTGTTCTTATAGTTCCCATGGAAACAATTTAAAACGGAAATTACAGGGCAAATCCTCAAGTGGTGCAACCTGCCTTGGCTCCATGGAAAACAACTTGTTTCAGCTCAGGAACTGGATTCTGGATGCTGCCATGAGTTCTGAAATTGTTTGTGTTCCCACACCTTAATTTTAGAACAATTTTGACTGATTAGCTATTTTCTGAAAAGGTTTGGTCCATTCTTCTTCTCATCTGAGTGCTTCAGCGTATTGAATCCACATTCCTATATTATTTTAAACATGCTTCCTCCCAGTTCTCTCAATTCATCAGCAGACATAAGTATACGTTATTTTTTAAAAATGGCCCTGATCTCTGGTTAAAGAGTGACTTTCAAATGATACAGGAGGCAACAATGGAATTGGGTGGCACAGGTTTTTAGCTGTACAGTATTTATACAGTACCTGTAGCACATGCAACCTTGCCTGCTCTCTGACCCTTCTCCAACCCGATTCAGTCATTACACATACTGTGGTAACCAGTTTGAGCAGACTCTAGGTCTTAATGCTGAGGCTGTTAAAACTCTTACCTAAAATCTCCTCTCTCTTGTTTTTCAGTTGCATCGCTTTGAACCCCACAGCCCTTCAGTCTGCAGCATACGCAATTACTTTATACGTTGCAAAGCCACGTCCCTAGACAACTGAGACTAGAACCCTGGTTACTTGTCACTCAAAGCACAGGCCTCTCCCTTGACCTAAGGGAACTATATTTGTACTATATTGATAATAGTATATCCCTTATCCAATCAGTATAGCAACTGCATTATTGTATCTGCAGATGTCCTGATCCAGTAACGGGATTCTTGTGTAGATCCCTGTTACCTGCACAGTGTCCCACTGAAGCCAGTGGGATTCTGCGCTCAACACAGCATCTACCCTGGAAGATTGAAATGCAGTCTGGGCCAAGGGCAACACATAAAGGGCCTATATTAACATATGCTTCCCTGTTGCTGGTTTTGGTCCAATCTATTTAATGTCAATGGGAATGAACTGTTTGCATCAGGAGAATTTGCCTAAGGTATGTTACTAGCCTGATGCACATTAGTAACTCCCAAGTAATCAAAACATTGGTGTTCTGTCCCAAACTAACAAGATCTGGAAATGCAGTTCAATTCCCAACCTTCAGGCATTCCCATGAACAGCATAAAATAAATCTAATATGAAAATGATGCCAAAGTAATTTGAAATAAATCAGAAACCAAAATATATGAAACCACAAAGTGTCTCATTTTATGAATGGCTTATTCTCCAAGTATCTCCAATTTGGATAAACTTGCTGGAGGGGAGTGGAATCCATTGCATTTCTAGTGTTTCTTTTGATTTCTAAACAGCACAAAATAGACATTTGTCACAGTGGAGCTAGTGAGCGAGGGAACTAGAAAGCTGAGCAGTGTATAGAGAACAAAATATTGAAAAACAAATCATAAAAGCTGATTCATGATGACAGAACATAAGAGCCAGATTTAGGCTGCCAGTTCTACTTACCTTGTTGTTGAAGAGAGATGCTGATCTCTGTCAAACTTTAGATTTCATGCTCTAGCCACAGCCATGAAAGGGGAGCATTCTGCATGCATTTCATGGTCTGGATGCTTCCAGTCGTGGTCACTCAATTGGTTTTTGTCCATTGCACTCCTGCCAGGGGCCTGAAGCCAGATAACACCAGTGCTCCTCCTCGCTCCAGACAAATATACTCTTTTTCAAGGCAGGAATAATGCTCACATTTGTTTTAGTGAAGAGCCCTATGTGTCCCTTGAGGCTGAAAATGATTATTAATAATCTCTAGTGCTTGGCCATGGTTTCTGGCATCCAACAATCAGACAGGGCCTGAATTTGGCTCCACATAAGGCTAATTTATATAAGAACTGGTGCAGAGTTGAACAGTGAATTGTTGGTTTTGGTATAGGAAATGTCCTTTCTGGGGCTGTGGATGGTATGGTTTCTTCTTCCTTGCCTGGAAACCTCCAGAAGCGACCAAGTCAGTTGGTTGGAGAACCCTTTTGCTTTATTCTCAAACCAAATCTGATCGTTCTTCTTATACAAAACATCATTCTTAGTAGTGCCGGCATTGTAAAATCAACAGCCCTGCCACGTACAGTCCCGGTGTGAGTGTATTACAAACAGTCCACAGTGTCTCTATTGTGGTAGAAGTGAAACCACGTGAGAAATCTCCCTGAGAAAGGGAACTAGCCAAGAGCTGTTACAGGATGTCATTTTATGATTAATGTTACTTTTACTGGGATGGGGAGGTGAAATCTCCAGTCGATCCTAAAGAAGACTTCCTTCTGATCCCAGTCTGTCTGTCAAAGAGAAGTTTCAGTTGCTCTACCAAATGATGTTTGAAGTAGTTGTCTGTCTCCTGAGACATAAGATTATTATAATATAAACAGAGACTCAATGAGATCCAAAAAGCATTACTTTTTGAGGGCAATGAAATACAAATCATCTCGTCAGACACAATGCATCTTCTCACTAGATAAGCCATACTATTGGTTATTAGAGCAACTATGTGACAGCATTAATGGAGGCTATGAGGAGAAATTTAGAGGACAAATATATAGCTATCAACAGTTTATATAGTTGGATACACGTTTATTGGCAGCTATCCCATATCCAATTTGTAGTATTTTATATTATCCTTGTGAAAATTAAAGCCATATTGGACCTTAATACAAACAAACGACGCAAAAACTAGACCTTGTTATGAGAGAGAAGATTGGGCTCAGAGCTTGTATAGTCCAGACACAAATGCCACCTGGGTATCTCATGTCTTCCCATGGGGAAAATACGAAACATTATAGAATATTGGCATTAATGCGTGAACAGCAGGGAAAAAGTTATGGCGATTTAATAAGCAGAACGATATTTCATGCAACACTGGAAAGTGGTACGTTATTTGAACGGTAGTCAGGAAAAGCTGATCAGTAATGAGGAATGTCTTGCCTCTGCAGGAAGCTCTTAGGATAGTTGCTATTGTGCAGCTGCTGCATACTATAGCTGCTTTTTTTTTAATTGCAGAAACAATATTTTGTTTTCTCATCAAGACTCAGCTCTGAAGCTTTTTACGTTTCATGAAGGCCTGTAAATAAACTGCAGTTTTTGGAGAAGTCCAAAGGATGTAGCTGCTCAACTTCCTTTGAAACAGGTCCTTCATTATGTGGGGCTTCTTTTTAAGTGAGAAATTGAGTCTGCAAATAGTGCCCAATCAAAGGCTTACTGTTGACTTGAAGACAACAGAAGCGACAATTTTTGTCTGATCTAGCCACAAGAAGTGGTCTATAGCTGTGACCAAACACAAGTGCATGGCTGCAGACCGCTTAAAAAAAAAAAAAAAAGTCCCACCGAGTGAAAATCTGAACCCTCATTGCATGAGGGGGTCACATGAAGACTTCAAAACAGAGCGTCCTCTGTAACTTCTGTCTGTGCTGCCTGCCAGCCTGCCACTGTTTTCAGAATGGGAGGTGGGAAAGGGAGTGGAAGGAGTTTGATTTGGGGGTATTGCAGCCCTGCTGCAGGGTGAAGCAGGTGTATTGGAGCTCCTCTGAGGTGGGGAGCTCCAGTTCACCCACCTCACCCTCCAGTGTCAGCTGGGGAACCCCTCCAAAAACTTTGCAGCCTTGCAGGGAGGAAGGGCCATTGTTACGCTAAACTGGCTGCAGGCTCCCAGCCAGTAACTAGATTCTTCCCCCTACTGGAATGAACAGTGAACTTCTGTTTGGTCTGGGGGATCGTCATAATTCAGAATACTTCCTGCAAAGCATTCTCAGTTACAGTGGAGACCTGCACTTCTGTCCAGGGACGTCCCGGGGAGGAGGGAGGGGGGAATCGGTGTAACTGCCCCAGATCCCGCACTTTGAGGGGCTCCGTGGAGCTGGGCAGAGTGGCCATGGAGACTCCGCGCTGCCGCTGCCGGCTTCATGTCCAGCTGCTCGCTACCCCCCCAGCCCGTTGATGGTGGTGGCAGCTTCTTTGCATCCGGGGTGTGCAGGATCAGGGTGGGAGCAGGGCCCCACATGGGCTGATTTGCCCTGGGCCCCACACCCTGCTCAGGTCAGCTCTGCTTCTGTCTGCACCCTAAAGGGCTCAGCATCTGATGCAGGCCTAACATTATCCAGCATAGCTGCAGATCATTGTTGTCAGAGGGGAAGAAATGGGCATCCAAAAATTGTGACTATATCTGAGAGTATGAATATTGAGCCTAGTGCTCAAACTCTGGTAGCATCTTCATTCTTGGCAAAACACAGTGGCCCTCTCCACAGAAAACTATTAGCTTATGGTAGCTTAGATTCCAGCAAAACTTGGATATCTGCTCCCCTAAACCTCTCCCCTTTGATTTACTCTGAACAACAAACCATATGTTTTTACTCTTCCATATCCTCACACTAAACATCCTTTTTCATAATATTTCTTTTCTGCTGTTGTTTTTCCCCTTGTATAGATTAATCCCGGGAGTAAAGCAGCCATGGCTAACCTCTGCCCAGGAGATATTATTCTGGCAATTAATGGAGAGAGCACAGAAAACATGACTCATCTAGAGGCACAGAACAAGATCAAAGCATCTATGGACCAACTGTTGCTATCTGTGAACAGGTAAGTGTCCTTACACACTTAATAACTCATCCAGTACATAGTTGCTGTGTCCACGTTTGTACAGAAATGTCCTTTCCTTGAGGTGTTCATCTGCAGCCACGAGGCAGCTGTGACTGTGTGTTCCTGTTCTCTTTTGTTTCTCTTTGAAAGAGACTGCATTGGAAGTATTCAGTTCTGGTAGTCCAGACTGAAAGGACCTGGGGTTCCCCAGGATCTAGTACTGTTTGGTATCTTCACTGAGGATGGATTGGAGCGCACGTTTGGTAAAATGTGGATAACATCAGGCTTGTGGAGCAGACAGAAAGAGGGAAGGATTAGGATTCAAAATAACCTTGCTATATAGGGAAAACTGGCCTGAAAGAAATAGGAAAAGTGTCTCTATGGGCAAGTGCAAAGTATTTTACTTGGGATGGAACAGAAGTGCATAAATGCAAAGCAGGGAATGACTGGCTAGGCTGCAATGCTGCAGAAAAGGCCCTGAGGGTTGAAGAGGACCACAAGCTGAGTCAGCAATCTAATAACACTGCAACAAAAAACTATTTTCATGTTATATGCAAGTCACTAGGAGTGATTCCTCCACGCTGTTCAGCTTGCGAGAACCTCACCTCAAGTCCTATGCCCAGTTTTGTGTTCTGTACTTCACAAAAGATGTGATCCCATGGACTCTTTCCAAATTCACTGCAACAAAAAATGGGCAGAGGTCTTCAAAACTTCATGTAGGGAGGTTTGAAAAATTAGGTTTATTTTGTCTGGAGGAGAGAAGATCTAAGTGGAGATTTGATAGCTATAAATAAGGAAAAGAGTTGTTGCAAGAACAGTTGTGAGCAACTGTTCCCTTTTTCCTCTGAGAACAGGACAGAAGTAATCGGCCTATTGCAAAAAGGGGGATTTATGTTGGATATTAGGAAGAGTTTTCAAACTCTAGAGATGGTTAAGCACTTGAACAGATTATCTAAAGAGCCTGTGGACTCTGTCAGTGGATGTGTAGGTTAGACAGATGTTTGGGATGATCCTTCATTGAGCAGAAGTTGAACTAGATGACTTCCTAAAGTCCATTCCAACCCTATTTATGATTCTGTGTTTGTTGGTATTTGAATCCACATCTGCACACTGTAGGACTCCTGGCAGAAGCAGATTTATGTCTGGTGGGGCAGCATTGAAGCCTTAAAACCAGTGGCAAAATCTTCTGTCTTCATTGATAGCAAAATTGGAACCGAAGTCTGGCATGGAAAAGCATCCCATCCTATGAGTTTTCTTCCTTTTTTTTTAATGGGCAGCTAGTTAGTTAACAAACCTCACAGCATTCTGCTAAGTGCCTTTATTTTGGAACAATTTTAAAGCAAAATGAAGTTGCATATTAATGCATTTTGGTTTTACTGCCGTTAGAACTCATTCCATGGCCAAATGTTTCTAATTAAACCACAGATTTATTTAATTGTTCAGCAGAATGAGTGATCTTTATAAGGCACAATAGTGACTGTTATCTTTAATAGATTTAAATAAGGTTATAAGATTTTTCCACTTCAAGTTAAAAAGGCATTTCCTCATGTAAAGAGCTACTATTTATTGTTTATACTTCCTTCTAAAAACTCTTTAGCTTTCTGGACCTGGAAATCCAGCATGAAGTTATTAGCTATTAGTGTTTTACAAGCACTATTCTTTATTGGAGAGTGTGTTTTTTCCTTCTGTACAGCTGCCCTAAATGAAACAACCCTCTTTGAGAACGGAGTGCATTGTGGTAGGTCCTGTATGAGCAAATGAAGGTTCCTCCCCAAATGAACTGAAGTAGTTTGTTTGGAAAAACACCTCACCAGAAGAAAGGTTTTGTACAGCTACAGAGAAACCATTTTTTTTGCATATCCCTGCACGTGGCTCACTCAAGTGAGGCTGACAGAGCACATGACACCAAACGAGGGTTATACCAAAAGTGGAAGAATGAGGACTCCCTCATATCTCCACCAACAAGTTGAAGCCCCTTTTCCGCTCCTTCTCCCCCTTCTCTGTTCTACTACACGGCAGAGAAGGCAGAGGTGAAAATCTTGCTGGAACTATAAGTTACATGTTGAGGGGCTATTTTCCAAGGAGCAAGTACCTTGGAACCTTTTTTTTTTTTTTTTTTTTAAATACTGA